CTTTCAAACTCCTTCCTCCCACGCCTTTCTGTTGGCAACTATAAAATGGGCATAGAAAATGTTTTATGAGTTGACATTAAATATATGAATACTGTCAACTGTCCAACTACCGTGTTTCTCATAAAATAAGGCTGGGTCTTACTTTTTTTTGAGCCCTGAAAAAACAGCTAGGATGTCGTTTCAGGGGTGACTTAGCCCCTCCGTTGCATCCTTGGGCGGGCAGCAGTGGCGTGGATGTCAGCCTCAGCGGGGTGCCCACTACCGATGCTTCCTCTTGGGTGTCCTCTTCCGTTTGGAGCATCACTGCTGCGTTTGGAGCTGCCGCCGCTATGTTTGGAGCATCACCGCCACATTTGGAATTGCCCTCACCACGTTTGGAGCATCGCCACTATGTGTGGAGTTGCCACCATGTTTGAAGCCGCCGCTGCCGCGTTCAGAGCATCACTGCCATGTTTGGAGCTGCCGCTGCTGCGTTTGGCGCTCCAAAAACAGTGGTGGCAGTTCCAAACATGGCAGTGACAGTTCCAAATGCGGTGGCAGCTCCAAATGTGGCAGCAACGCTCCAAATGCTGCGGTGGCAGCTCCAAACACAGTGGCAGCAGCTTCAAATGGGGCGGCAGCTGACCCAGCTTGCAGGCAGCACCATACCCAGGTCTGCAGCAAAGGTACTTGGTGGGAGTAGGGAGCTCTCCATGGTCCACCATGATCGGCCATTAGGAGCAGCTGGTGGCAAGGCATGGCTGCCCCACCCTTCCTCACCATTTTGCATGGGGGGAGGAGCTTAATTTCATTTTATGCCTAAAAAACATTCTGGGCCTTCCTATTGGGGGGGGGGGGGCATATTGTTGGAGAAACACGGTAATGAACCCAAAACAAGAAAATGCTATCAGGACCTTTGAATACCCCAAAGTAAAACTTTATTGAATACACCATTCTGGTACTGAAGAATCAAAACCAGTTCTGGTTTTCCTTGCTTAGTTAAACAATAGCTTTCCTTTCTCCCCATCCCTGGGTGATCACATTGACCAATTATGGAACATCCTTTTGTTATGGGAACAGTCCACCTCCTGCAAGCACCTGCAATGGTGAGCTTGATGGTTGCCAGGTTCTCATGGTCCACACACACTTTCTCCGTATTCTGTTTTCCCCTTTTAGTGGGGGAACAGCAAGGCTGGCTGGGAATTCTGGGAGTTGAAGTCCACAAGCCTTAAAGTTGGTGAAGTTGGACACCCTTGATTTAAAACTCCTCCAAAGAGCTGAATCTTCACTTAATGTGCCTGAAATATTACTCTTTCTCTCTCTCACTCACTCACCCCCGCCCCCCGCAGCGTCATCACACTTACTAGGAAGGTCTCTTGTTCCAAAGGAGGGGATCTCCATCCAATCCCATCCCTCTCCTCCCCCATTCCTGGCGCAGACGAATCGCAGCTCTTCTTATTGCCTTTGGAGATTCTCAGCCACCAGGTCGTGATTGTCCCAAAGGTGTTTCTTTCAAGAGGCAACTGGACTTTCTGGTTTTTCTTTGAAGGCCTTCGTCAGCTCTCTGAAGCTTCTTCTCTTCTCTCTGAAGAAGAGAGAAGAGCTGAAGAAGCTTCTCGGATGAGAAGCGAAACGTCTTCAAAGAAAAACCAGAAGTCCAATTGCCTCTTGATAAAAGCACCACTGGGACAGCTCTTCTTATCGCATTCTTGCACGGGAAACAACAGGGAGGCTGGGAATGCCCCGGGGCTATCCTCAGCTAGCACGCATCTCTGCCGGCGCTCACGTCGGAAAACATCCCTTGATGCTGCGGAGAGTGAAGCAGTTGCCCACCTGCGTTTTCCAGATGTTTGGATCCATGTTTCTTTTGCAAGAGAGCCCAGATTGTTCCATTGCTTCCTCGGATTACGTGGCGCTTCTTTGCCTAAACATGCGATTTTCCACCGAGAAATTTGCCTGCTTTCCTCGTGTCTTTCTGTGGAGCTGGAGGCCATCTGCTAGGGGCTTTTTTTGGCGTCTTTTTTGAAAATAGGATCTTCTTGTCCATTCGTGGCGTAAATATATAGATCTGTTTGCACGCTCTTGGTTTGGAATGGCGCGTTCAGACAACTTGATCAAAGTTTTCATTTTCCCAGCTTTTCAACTGCAGCCAAGAAATGCTATTACGGAGAGACAAAATTAAATGCAGTCTTTTCCCCCTAAAAAAAAAAAAGGAATAGTTCAGGCTTTTAAACATGAATACCAGAATACTATCCGTTTTCTGCATCCAAAGAAGGCTTGAAAAAAGATTTGCACAGCTGGCTCGTTGGTCTAGGGGTATGATTCTCGCTTTGGGTGCGAGAGGTCCCGGGTTCAAATCCCGGACGAGCCCTGCTTTTTAAAAATAACTTATTTTTAATATTTAAAATATGTATTAAATGTAGAAAGGGCATTACATTTATTCAGAGAGGAATAGAAAGTTTTGTTTTTTGGCTTGTTTATAAGATTATGCTTGCAACCCTATAGAACGGTAAGATATTTTGAATGAAAAGGCTAAAGTTAGGAATAACAAATATTTCCATGCAGAAAAGGATGACCAAAACATGCCAAAGATAGATATAATTTGCCTGATTTTCTTTATCTTAGCTTGCATTGCTATTTCATTGTCATCCTTAATTCGTTTCTTTTGATTTTTTGAGGGAAAAGGGCACCTTGAAATATATTTAAGTGAAAACCCTAACTTCCCCAAATACATCTATATTAAGTAACAATTAATTAATACCTTTATATTAGGCATGTTCCCTGCTTTGTTAGATATTTTAAAAGGCAGGATGATGGTGATGATGAAGAAGAATAATTCAGGAGCATCACCATTAAAATAAGGCATACGACATGACATATAAAATTTAAAACTTAAAATCCAAAGCGTGGCAAGATGAAGAGGAAAATAAATACTTTAAGTCAGTACTGAGAAAGTGTGATTTGGTTAGGTGTTTTCTAGGCAGTTGACTGCATATTTAGCATCAAGCAAGGCTCCATAGCTCAGAGGGCAGAGCACTGGTCTTGTAAACCAGGGGTCGTGAGTTCAAATCTCGCTGGGGCCTTTGTTATGCTGGGGTCAGCAACTGGTTCTGAAATCTTGTTGGATTTGGGGGGGAATTTTGCGATTTAGCAGAAGTCTCCCTGTTAGGAACATTTCCAAGCGCTTCAATTGGAACCGGTTACAAAAGTGAACCAAAAAAAGTGAAAGAATGGAGGTGGGGGGGAAAAATGATGATTTGTCTTTTTTTTTCTTTTCTTTTTCCTTCCTTTCCTTTAGAGAAGATGGTGCCAAAGGAATTGAGAATCCCAAAATACCTTTTGGTGTCCTTGTCATTGAGAGAAAACAAGTGAAAGAAGGAAGAAGGACGTTTTGCATCCAGATCCTCACCTACTTTGGCTGCGCAATACCAACAATTCTTCCTGGCAAGGATCAGAACTATCGGGGATGCTAGCCTGACGGTGCCAGGGACCGGAGTCACTCCGTATCCTTAAAAGTTTCGCTTTGAGGAAGCCCCAAACCCCAGCTATTTTATTTCAACAACGGGGAGTCATCTAATTTCTTTCTTTCTTTCTTTCTTTCTTTCTTTCTTTCTTTCTTTCTTTCTCTTTCTCTCTGTCTCCCTCCCACCTTCTTGTCCTCTCTCCCTCTGTCCCTCCTTTCCCTTCCTTTCTCCATCCCTTCTCCCCTCCATCCCCTTGTCTTGTTTTCCTTTCTTCCTTTCCTCCTTCCTCCCTCCTCCTTGTCTTGTTTTCCTTCCTCCTTCCCCCTCCCTCCTTCCTCCATCCCTCCTCCTTGTCCTCTTTTCCTTCCGGCTTACCATGTCAATATTTTTCCCCTTTCCCTTCCTTACGCGATTATGGAAGAAGACAAGGAAAATGCAAACTAGAAGGCAGAGATAGTTAAAAGAAATCTTTTTACATCCTGGATTTGGAAGATGTGATCGAGATTGGTTTTTATGGCACTTCCCTTCTCTTTTCCTTGAGGATTGACAAATAAAAAGGATTAAATCTCCACTTTCAAATCACAGTAAATATATGTAGTATATTTTCCACTAGGTGGCTCTAAAACTCAAAAATGTTGCTGAAGAAAACAAAAAACATCTGATGTTCATTGGTCTAGGGGTATGATTCTCCCTTAGAATGAGAAAGGTCCCTGGTTCAAATCCTGGATGAGCCCTCCTTTTTTTATATTTTCTTTCATAGAACAATTTTGTTTGATCTGTGCTACTTCAGAAGGATTCTATCATCTACAGTTGCCAGGAATTGTTCACGTGGGAAAAATAATTAATTCAATTATTAAAACTGCAGGTTGAAAGATTAATACAAGTGTTGAACCTACTAATATTGCTGGGCATTTTTGCATTTGCAAATCAAATTTTATTACAACCAGAGACCAGAATATTACCATTCATGTTTTTTAAAATTTGTACTATTAATGAACAAGAAACCTTTCCAAAGCATTGCAAACAAAATCAACAGTTTTAAACTCAGTTGGTTTTTATTTCCAAGAGAAAAGCAGAGAAATAGATTTTCTTCTTCATAACTATAAGAATGAGGATGATGCAGTGGACACCAATGGGAGAGTTGAAACACCAAAGATAGAGAGAGATTGACATGGATAAAATCTATCTATAGGGTCGCTAAAAGTTGAAAATAACTTGATGGCACAGAATCAGCCAAACAATCAATCAATTAATCATCAACTAGAAACAGTCCTCAATATAGACCATAATGGAGCCCAAAATTTCTGTTGACATGAGTTTTGCTCCATTTTATGTCCTTTCTTGCAAGAGCTGTTAAATGAATCACTGCAACTATTAAGTTCATAACATGGTTGTTAAATGATCTGGCTTTGCTTGTCAGAAGGTCGCAAAAGGCAATCCACCATCATAAATACGAACCAGTTGCCAAGCATCTGAATTTTGATCACATGACCATGGGGAGGCTGCATTGTTCATAAGTGTGAAAAACGTCACTTTTTTCCCCCAGTGTCCCTTTTTTTTTCAAGTCAAGTGACTTTTTTCTAGTCACTTTTTTCAAAGCCTTAGTAACTTGGAACAGTTGCTTAAATGAATGGTTGTAAGTCGAGGCCTACCTGTAGAAGCAAATAGAGAGAAAAAGCAGACAGCTGAAATGGTTACTTTGGACCCACATTTCTTCACTCCTCCAGCTCCATATAACCTGGAACTTCAGTTTCCAAGTGGACTGGGTAGCCATCTTCACAAGCAATAATAATCCTATTGACAGCGCTGGTTCCAATGTAGTTGCAATCTGGAGCCCAGGAGCCCCTATAAAGTTTGCACAATGTCAAGGGGAAGCTGGAGTTACTCTCCCGGAGGTCTCCCACGGTTGGTTCTCCTGCCGGGCCACAGACGGCTTGGATCTGAGGGACTTCCATGTGGACAAACGTGTTGAGATGTTTGCAATATTTACTGGTTGCCATGTGCCGACGTTTCATCATGAGATTGCAGTACCGTTGGGTATCTGGGACTTCGGTCCTTGGGTAATCCACATGCTGTCGCAGGAACTTCTCAAAAGTGGCAGCATTGATCATAGCCAACCAAGCCATCAACAGGAGGAGAATTGTGGTTAGCCTGGGACTTAGGCCCTTGTTGGTCATTCTTGTCTTGGTCTTCCTCAGTAACTTCTCAAGAGAAAGAAAAAAGAAGAAGAGGGAATGAAATCGGGTGGACATAGAAGCAGGAGGTTGGATGATCAAAGCACAAAAACAAAATGGCTTCCTCAGGAAAGATCAAAGCATATGTCCCTATTTGCACCTAACACGAGACAAATATTTTTCAGGAATAGAACAGAATAGAATTATTTATTGGCCAAGTGTGATTGGACACACAAGGAATTTGTCTTTGGTGCATATGCTCTCAGTGTACATAAGAAAACATAAAATACATTCATCAAGAATCATAAGATGCAACACTTAGTTATTGTCATAGGTTATTAATATGCAATCAAAACATACTGGGAAAACAAATAAAGCAAGACAAGTGTTTTTGTCTACCTTTTCTTTTTGAAGTTGTCTCTATCTCTTACTTTGCCTAGGTCTGAATCAGATTTAGGTTGTCCTTAGTTTGATTAGTTTATGTGACAAACCAACAAAATATCTGGCATTCATTTTGGGGGAAGAGGAAAACAAGTACATATATTGCCTGACATAAAAACTTTTAATGAGTTCAGAGCGTTGGGCCTTCTCTGCTTTGGCACCCACCCAGGGGTGGGATATGACAGGGTTAACTACCGGTTCAGATTTACGAGGTTCGGTGATTTATGATGTGCTTCTCTGCACACTGCTAGCTGCGTGCCTGTAAATCGTCATCAGCACGCTACGTGCAGAGAAGCAGCCTTTGAAACAGCCCTCTTTTCCTGCTTTTTAAACTGCAGCTGTGCCTTGTTCGGCAGCTGAAGTTGAAAAATCAAGAAATAAAGATCAGGTAAGAGCCCAGGTGGGCTGGTGAGCAAAAACATCAGCAGACATAGAACCGGTTCTATGTCTGCTGCTCTTCAGAGCTACTGGTTCTACAGAGGAGGACAGAACCGGTAGAAACCCACCCCTGCACCCACCTTATGGAACATTCTCTCCCAGATATTAGGTTAGCTCCATCCCTTCTGATGGTCTGGAAGTTCCTCAAGAGCTGATTATACCAACAGGCCTGGGGGCCCCAGGATCCTTGTTTAAGTGGCTCCCTGTGCCCCATTCCCTCTGCTTCAGATTTGTATATATTTTAGTTTTAATTTTCTTCCTTTTTAATACTGATTTTTCTATTTTTAAATGTCTGTTTTTAGATATATATTCTTTTTCTAATTGACTGGTGAACGCTTTTTGTGAGATGGGTCGCTATACAAATTTGAGAAAGAAGGAAGGAAGGAAGGAAAATGAAGTAGGAAAAGAAAAGGAAGAACTATAATCATGGGTAACAATAACAGAGGGATTGAGAGAGATGTGCAGTATTCATATCACCTTAAATTAACTCTTCAAGTCCACACACCATACCATAAACACATGGCTGAATTGATACTTTGCCAAAGTTAGCACTAGTCAAATTTAGTACCTTGTGTAAAGGCATCCCCGATTTCTCATCTTGGATTAAGCATCTGGTAAGAACACAGATGTTTTCTTTATTTATTCCTGACAATAAGTTATCTTTTCCCCATCTGCGCTTATATTTAAATATTTCAACGTTCTGATAGTCTGTCTCTCTTTCATCCCCTATCATCTATCTATCTATCTATCTATCTATCTATCTATCTATCTATCTATCTATCTATCTATCCATCCATCCATCATCTATCCATCCATCCATCCATCCATAATCTATCATCTATCTATCATCTATATCTTTCTATCTCTCTCTATCCATCCATCCATCATCTATCAATGTCTATTTATCTATCTATCTCTTCTATCTATCATCTATCATTCTCTCTCTCGTCTATATCTCTCTATCTCTCCATCCATCCATCATCTCTCCATCCATCATCTCTATCTAACATCTCTCTCTCTCTCTCTTTATCATTCTCACTCTCATCTATATCTTTCTATCTCTCTCTCTCTCTCCATCCATCCATCCATCCATCATCTATCTATCATTTGTCTGCCTCTTTGCCTGCCTGCCTGCCTGCCTGCCTGCCTATCTCACCAATTACCTGCCATATCATCTCTCACCTATCTCTATATCCCCATGGTTAAGCAGAGGAAATCCATAGGGGCTTGCCATTATTTGTTTAAAAAGATTGTACCTTTTAAGTTCTTTGGAAAAAAAGATGAACTGGAGAAAGGATGTTAAACCTCTTTTTCTCTAAAAGTTTAGTGCCATCTCGTATTCATCCCTGCTGCCAAAGAATGGTTAACACCACCAATTTACACTTTTAAATAATCCAGATAAATCTCATAACCCACCTTATGTTAAAATGCTCCTGTCTCATCTGACACCGTCTCTGAATATCAGTTAAGGAAGCCAACCGTCCTGATGGAGATCAAGAGGTATTTGTTACCAGCAGGGAAGAAAACAACAGGAAATACCAGAAATGCTTCCATGCAGTGGTAAAGAGCTTTTAGAAATTGCTAGAGGCTTTCACACATTGCCAAGCGTCTGTGTCAGCATGAGGACTAGAAGCTTTTGTTTGTTAAATGACAGCTAGCGAATTCCATTCTGTTCAGTTGTGGGTGATAGCAGAAAGGAATGACAGAACACCCCCATCTATGTTTCTGTAGTTGTTGCAATCCAAATTCCAAGTTGTTGAAGTTGGAGGGGCATGATTTGCAATTGGGCTGGCATGTTTTTTTTTATGGTATGTAAGATACACGGTTATTTTCAAAGACATTATGTTAGAAATGCTTTATTGTTCATATGGGAGAAAATCAGAGAACAACATTATTTGAAAATTCCAGTCTGGTTATCAACAATGGAAGCACTTATACATCCAAATGTTTGTAAAATGGGATCTATTGTTAGATATAAGGATATACTGAATGAAAAGGGTGAGCTCAAAACTAAACAAGAGTTGAATGAACAAGGGGTTGATATATGCATTGGTACTCATATACAGTCAAGATATGAAAAAGATGTTAAAGCTGAGTTAACAGAATTGAAAAAAATTACTAACAGGAAGACAAGCTGATTAAAAATTTGTATTGTTATTTATTCGGTGTCAAATTAGAAAAAGAACAAGTGAAGGAAATGATAGTGTGGGCAATTTTGGGAGGGGGTATGCTATAGAATTAGATAAGTGGCAGAAGCTATGGGAAAGAAAATATAAATTAACATTATCGACAGCATATAAAGAAAATTTGTATAAGATGTTTTATAGATGGCACTTTGCACCAGCAAAATTGGCAAAGATGTTTAAAGACAAATCAGCCAAATGCTGGAAATGCCATCAAACACCTGGATCATACTACCATATGTGGTGGACATGCACAGAAGCCAAAAGATACTGGAAAAAAGTATACACATGGTTGGTTTAATGATAAAGCAACATATACATTTAAAACCTGAAATACTTCTTTTAGGGATGGTACCTGAAAGCTATAGCAAAGAAAATGTAAATTTAATTATTTATGTATTAACTGCAGCTAGAATTGTATTTACTCAGAATTGGAAAAGTGAAAAAATTCCAGAAGAGGGAGATGGGATTGAGAAAATATTAGAATGTGCAGAGATGAATAGATTAACATAGGCAATTAGAGAAAAAGAAGAAACTGAATACTGTATGATATGGAATCTATTTTATTAACAATTGGAAAATAAAGAAATAAATTAAAATTGAGTAGATGAAATCTACTCAAGTAGATTTGAGTAGAGAAATAAGATTGTTATAAAGATAAAATATGTAAGTGAAAATGGTTTATAAAGAAAATTTACTGATATTTTGGCAATTATAATAACAATTATAATTGTTAGCACAAGATATATGTACCCAATTGATACACTATTTAAATGAAAGATGGCCTTGTTGTAAATATAAAATAAAAAAACTTAATGAAAAAGAAGAAAGGAATGATAGATTCCACCACACCTTCCAGTGTACATTTCAGCAGTTGCTTCAATTTAAATAGTTGCTGTAAGAAATAGACTTAATAATTATGAGCCAACATTCTCATTTTGAGGATGAGATGACATTTTCATCTATGTTGGCGTTGGATGAGATTCCTCCCTGTGCCATGTTGATTTATCATGGCATCTTAAACATGTTATCAGCAATCAAGCTTTGCTGCTGAATTAGCAACCCAAGATCATACTATTGTCTTAACATGCAAGTAATTCATAGATGCACTTTATTAAAGGTTGTTTTTGGCAGCGGTTTGCTCTCCAAGCTTGCTTTAATTCAGCTTCTGTGTCAGTCCAGGTTGTTTTTATTATGCATTTATATCAGTCAAGGAAACAAATAGAACTGAAACAACACAAACCATACTAAAGTAATTAACATGGCAGGCCAGGATAATAAATTGCAGACTTCCAAAAGATAATGAAGCACACACAGTTGGGAGGATGCCAAAACCCAGATAAGTCTCAAAAAAGATAATGCACGCTTTGCTTCCAGCAAGGTAGTGTGTGCAAACGTCCTTCTTATATTCTGTTCTCCCAGCTGCAACCAATGAAACTGATCAGGGCCCTTTTCTCTCATGTAAGCCATGTTGCTCCCTTCTCCATTCCTGCCTGCATCCCCTAGGATGAAGAGGTGGTGGCCTGGGTCTTCCTCCAAAAGCCCAGCTGAACTGTGCCCTTCCTCCATTTCTTCCACAGCCACCGGAGCCACACTCCCACTCCCTGTCAACTGCTCAGTCTCCCCCTCAGAATCAGACTCCAACAAGGGCATGACAGTGGCGGGCCCTGGCACTTGCATGTGAAGCTTCACTTGCATGTGTAACAGGTGCCCATTATGGTTTCATAAATGGAACACTGGGCTTCCTGTCTCTTACATAATAGGAGAACAATTTAAAAAAACAGCTGCCCAAAGAATTAAGGATATAGAAGCACAAAATGGTATAGCTATCCTTTGTAAGGTGGGTAACTTGAAATGGCTGAGCAATACAAACATACTTTTCAAATAGAGAGCTATTTTAAAGTTACAACTGCCAAATCATCTTAGGGAGATATTTCTGTGAATAAGATTCGAGCAGCTCGACACAATGGTCAGATATGGGAGATTCCATTGTATACCCTACAAAGAATGTCTTTGCATTTGCAGAGTGGCAGAAGTAGAAGAGATGGCTCACATCCTATTTGATTGTTGCCTATAAAATAGGGTGAGAGACAGGTACCTCGGTCTACATACCAAAGGAATGACCCTTTGGGGCTCCCATGTCAAAACAACTTACCTTCTGTGTGGCCAGAAACTGAAAATAACATTTAACACAGCACAGTACTTAAGTGAAATGGTTCAGTTGAGATCAGCACATGTGGGACTGATTGGGGTAGATTGTAGGGGTAACACTGACATAATTTTATTGTATTTGATTTATCTCTACATTGTATTTTATTGTATTGTATTTTATTTTATTGTATTTTATTCCAATTTTATTTTAAATTGTATTGTGGAAAGGGAACTTCATGAGGACAGTGGTGACACCCAAGCAGGAAAAGCCCAAAGGGAACATCAGGCCAGTCATAAAACAAACTTGCATAGGAAAAGAGATTTAATAAAAGGTATTGAAAGAAGCCCTCTAGACAAAAGCCAAGTAATTAAGAAAGCTAGGGAAACAAGAAAAAGAAATCCCTTACAAACAAAAGGTCATGCCAAATCAGCAAAACAAATAGACAAAAGACACGAAATAAATTCCATAGCACACAGGAGATTGCCACCAAACAAATATAAGAAAACATTAGGAAGACAAC